AAAAAAAAAAATCACCAACGAACTGAAACAGTCAAAGTTAAAATTTACCTTTTTTTCTCATGTGTCGTACAAATACTCACCACACACAGACACATACATATAAAGACGTTCAGGTCTCTTATTCTCCTGCACGCTTCTTTGTTGTCGTTGTTGGCGCGTCGCCCCCAATTCCCCAAGGGCGCCACTCGTTACCGCGCGTGTCTCGTTGCGTGCGTACGTGTGCGACCCACCGCCGTGCTGCCGCTGTGTGTTGGTGGGCACCCAATGCCCCCAGTGTGCGGCAGCAACGCACTCCGTCCGCCAGCAGCACCCTGGAGAGAAAAATCTACCGGAGTGCACTACAAAGATATGAAGAAATGAAAGAAAAGCACCCGTACTTTTACCTTCAACACACGCACACTCATATATAGGAACGTATAACGCCTTGGAGGAATAAAGTAAAAAACAGAAGAAGTTCACACTATTCCACCCCCCTCCTTTATTTGTTTTCCTCGTTCCTGTGTGTGTCTTTACTACTGTGTTGTGTACGTCTTCACTCGGTGTTTTATGTGATCTCTGAATTTCGCTTTCCCCCCCCCCTGCAGTATTGGCTTCCGCGCGTGTTGATTTGTTTCGTGGCTCTCCGTTCGCTCATCGATGCGTAGGGGACAGAGAGGGTGAAGCGGCCGGGGTGTGTGTGTGGCACACACGCACACACACACACACACACACAAAGCGACTCTCATCTATTACATGACGACTGCAACGTGACGGATTGCACGCTGTTTCCTCTTCACAGTCCACATTCTCCTTGTGCGTTTCACATATTTCCAATTATATCTTTTTTGTTTCCTTTTTTTTTCTCTCGTTGCATGTGCTTGCCACTTGCGTGTTTTCTTTCTTCCGTTTTCTTCGCGGGCAGAAACTCTCTTCCCTCTGCTTTTTTAATAGGACCGGGTTTCGTGTTCTATTATTCTGCCTTGTTTTCTTTTCGCTTCTTGGTCTTTCACCTTTCTAACCCCACCCCTCCTTCTGTGTTGTCTTCATTCTCCTTCGCTCCTGCCCTCCTCCTCCTCCTCCTCCTCCTCTGTTGTCACAGGGGCAGCGGCAAGAGCATCGCCAACACCACTCCGTTTGGCATCCACCTCTTCGTTTGTGTATCTCTTCTCTGCCGCCTTGTGTGCGGAAAGGGGTCCGAAGCTCTCCTCTCACCCTTCCACCCCCCTCGCCCACAAAAAGACAGACAGACGCATAACTCTTTCACAAAAACCAAGTGAAAACAACACCAAACAACAACAAAAATAAAATAAACCAAAAAAAGTCGCGCCGTTTAGACAATCATAGTGGCTGTTGACTTGCAGTCACGTGCGAGGTGTCCCTTCTGCCCGCAGTGGTAACACGGCTGCTCCTCAACGGGCAGCCGCGGATTAGGGCAGGTGCGTGCGAGGTGGCCCTGTACGCCGCAGCGGAAGCATGGCAGCGATGCCTTGGGCAACTTTGCACGCTCTGGGCACCGCTTCGCGATGTGGCCGGCGAGACCACAGTTGTTGCACTTCACCTTCTCAATGGCGTCGGGGCACTCACGGGCGTAGTGGCCTGTCTTGTGGCAATGAAAGCACGGCTGCTCAGAGCGCGGCAGGCGGGGATTGGTGCAGTCACGCGAGATGTGACCCTCCTCGCCGCAGCGGTAGCACGGCTGCCGCGTCTCCTCCGGCGGGGCGAGTGGGCAGCTGTGGGCGCGGTGTCCGGGCTCGTGGCAGAAGAAGCACGGCGCGTCTTTCACGTCTACGTCGCTGGGGCACTCCTTCCACATGTGGCCGGGCTCCCCGCAGCGGAAGCAGAGACTCTCGGAGACCGGCTTTGGGCAGTCGCGGCTCGTATGGCCCATACCACCGCAGCGGTAGCACACCATCGTTGTTTTTGCTTATCTGTTGGTTACGACTTTGTGTTGTTCCTCACCTTCTCTCTGATTCCTGTCGTCGTCGTCGTCGTCGTCGTCGTCGCTTCTGGGTATCTCCTTCGAAATCCGTTCTCCCTCTCTCAATGCAAAGACACCACTCCTTCAATGATGTCCCTCGCGTCACACGACATCCGGTAATGCAATTGAAACAAACACACACACATGCACCACAAAACAACAATACAAATAAAGAAGACACAAGAGCACTAAAGAAATCTTTAGCGGCAGTACAAACGATGTGATGAACAGCAGGAATACCCACAACAATTGCAAGACCAAGGCACTAGCCCCAACCCAGCCTTCCACCCCACATCTCCTACACCTTCCCGCCAATGCCCTGTCGCAAGAGCAGTGCGCAGATAGCAACAAACAAAGAAGCAAACACACATGCAGGTGTGGATGCCGTGACGCGGTATATTCGCCACTTATTTTCCGCACTACGCCACGGAATGTCATTGCCCCCACCACCCCCTCAAACTCTCGTCCTCCCCCTTGCCACACGCCTCACACCTTTTTTGTCCCAGCAGTAATAAACACAGGACACCCCACACTGCAACCGACCGCCACGCTCCTTCTCCAGACCTTGCATCCTTCACACACCGCCTGATTCACGACGCACGGGAAAAGGCACTCCTCTTCCGAATACTCTCTATTTCCTCCCCGACGCCTCCGCCCAAACTCCTCGACGCACAAAGCCCATCGCCTACCACCATCTTCCCCATCCCGTTCTGTCCCCAAAACAGAACAGATTCTTCACCATTCGTCGCCAGCATTCTACACATCGCACAACGCGATGCCGTCAAGATACACTACATACCACTAATGTAAACATTCGATATATACTCTTCTTTTCGCATGTTTGTCGCAATGTATGCCTAAATTAGCCACTTTGACTTATTCACTGAGAAACTTGTAGCAGTGCTACACAACCTTCCATTTTTTTTTTCAAACAAAAAAAGTTATATTCCCTGACTCCAAAATCCGGTGACGATGGAGAAGCCTGAAGAATGCCCCTACACCCTTCCGCCCCGCAGGGCAGCAGCTCACATCCCCAACCACTACAACACACTCACGTGGGGTACCGATAAAAGGAATGCAGACACGTTCTTTACAACACACTGCAGCACCATAAAAACCTACGTCTTGCACTCCAGCTCACATGCATATACAGAGGCAGACCCACACTTGAGCGAACTGCCTCACGCGGTTAGAGCCTCTGCGAAAGAGGGGCTACAAGGAAACAAGAAGAAACGCACGGAAAGACGAGACAGAAAGAAAATTCACCTTGTACAAGAGAGGCAAGCAAAAGACACCCGAACGCATCACTCCTCCCTCCACCCTCCAAAGGGGAGGGGAGAAGAGAGACAGACACCCTCTCCAAGCAGAAAGAAAATTGGATTTTAATATGCCTCAAAAATTTTCAAAGAAGTGGCGTTCTTTTTCTTCAGTTCTGTCCTATCATTTTTTTTTTTCCTTGGCTGGGTGATTATTACCTCTGGCCTGTCTCTTACTATTGTTTTTGTTTGCTTCCTCCCTTTTATCTTGGAATTTTTCGCTCTTCCCACATGAACCTGTCAAGAAGCAAAAAAAAAGGGAAAAAGGTTGCACAGATGAGCCCAGGGAGGCAGCGGCTCTTCAAAGACACGGCCACGCTCCCCACACCTCCTGCTACCCCTTCCACTCTTTTACCATCTTAACAGAATCACGGCGTCCGTATTAACCGCCCTCAATCGCATCAACTCATAGACGCTTTACTCTCACACTTAAATTTTCGTTTCCTTTTTTCTTTGTGTGTGTGACTTCTTCGCCTTTCCTCAACAACAAACCCTTCGGCTACGCATCGGCGGTGGTCCATCCGCTCTCTCTTCCCAATTAGTGAGAACTTCAGGAACGACACACAACGCGTGAGGACCAAGAAGGGTAGCACCTAAACGGTGCACGCAGGAATGCTGTTTTCCAAAACAAAAAAGAGCAAACAGAACGCAAGCACTCCACAGTAAACTCCTGCTTTCCTTCTGATAGAGAAGGCATGACACCTTCTCCGCCGCCAACCTCAGTGGTCTTCGTGGAGTCTAAAAGCATCACACTTCACCTCATATTAGTGATTATTCTCAGCACCTCAAAAAGGAAACTGAACGATCTTCCTCCTTACTTTATCCTCAACATCCTCTGCTCTCCCGCGTCGAACAGCTTGCTTTTATAGCAAGCAAAAACAGAGGTATCCTACCTGACGTTTGTGCTTGTTACTGAACTGAACAACTCATCGCCGATCCGACCAGCAAGCCTTGGTTGTACGTTCCCTACTTGGCGGGGCATGCGCGGCTTATGTGGCCTGGCTGGCCACAGTTGTAGCACGTGGCATCGCCACCACGAGGAGCACCGCCCGCAGGTGCGTTGGGGCAGTCGCGCGCAAGGTGACCTTCCTGACGGCAGTGGTAGCACGCGCGGCCACGCGGGGGGCCACGGAATCCCTCGTTGGTACGGGTGGGACATTCGCGGCTAAGGTGGCCTGGCTGGCCACAGTTGTAGCACGCACGGTTGCCCGCGCCGCCTGCAGGCCTTGTGGGACATTCGCGGCTAAGGTGCCCTGTCTCTCCGCAGTTGTAGCATGCGCGGTCACCCCTCATCATCTGTGCACCATCGGCCATGATTGTAGAAGAGCGTGTGGAGAGTTGTTCGGTGGTAATCCTCTTTATATAAATTCGAACAGAAGAGAAAAGAGAAGCAAAAGTAAAAGAAATCGGATCAGAAATAATCAGAGATGGGAGCGACTCACAGGCAGCTGCTGTGCCCGTTAGCAGCGCATATATATATCATTACCCCTCGTCAAAAAGAGACTTTCCTAATTGCACCGGAAAAAAAAGCACCGTGTAGAGCAAGAACAAGCAAGAAGCCAACATGCTTGCTTGGTTCATGTCTTCGTCTCACCTTTCAGGAACAACGGTTTTTTCCCCCTTCTCCCCCGCCCCCCACCTTTACATCTTCTGTTTCTCAGGATGGGTAGTAGCGATCATATAACTTCGTCTGATCGTCACGTGAAATTTGTGTCCAGCCGCCTTGGTGCACGTGGTACACAGTGACAATACCACCAGACGCGCCGTCGCGGTATGTGGCGTGAAATATGGATCGCCGTGCAAGATCACAGGCCTGCTCGACAGTGAGATCCTTCCGGTAACCCTGATCGAGGACACCATATGCATAGATGGATCCGGAGCCCACACTGAATAGCTCGTGCTTTACACGAGTGCCCTTGTCATCCACGTAGTAAAGGGATGGACCAAACTGATCCCAGCCAGCCACCATTGTGCCCATGGACAGCCCGTAGTTGCGGTAAGAGTATGTGATATTAGCAAGGATCTTACTTGCGGCTGCCACGGAGATACGGCTATTGTTGCGAAGCTCCCAGAGCCGGCACTCCATACCCAACACACGCTCCCAGTATTGACAATCCGCCGCACCACCAGCCATGGTACCAAGAAGGTAATCATTGATTTCCAGCACTTTCATGACTGTCTGGGAAGAGATATACTGTCCTGAAGAAGCGCGAGAGTCCACAGCAATGATGATGCCCCCGTCAAAGTGAAAGCCCAACGTAGTGGTTCCTTTCTTGACGTCCAGCTTTGGAATACTGCGAGGGACAGGACACGGCTTCATGAGCTTCCAAACGCGCATATCTGTTTGAAGGCGTGCGCTGGTGCTGAGAGGGTCCTCTGTCAGTTTCTCTCCCGTTGCTGGCAATACACTGACATCATCGCTGTGTTTGGGGCGTTGCCCGAGCGAGCTGTATGAACTGAGGGTGAGCGCATCCCCTTCAACATCATCATTATCATCCAAACCGGGCACGTTGTGCCACGTGAACGGACCAACGTGGGGGCAGTCGTCTAGAGTGAAATCTGAACGTAAAACAGTTTCAAAATCGGCAAGCATTGTTCCCAAAGACTTTATTTTCCTTCCTCTTTCCTCCTTTTCTTTGTCTTTTTGGGTAGTTTATCTGAACAGAACAAGTATTGCTTTGTGTGGCTTCTAGAGGGAAGCGAAGAGATGAGCAACGCATTGTACAGAGAGGAAAAGGATTATAAACAAATCGGGGGATGCGTCCTGATTCACCGCAACAACATGAAGTTTGTGGATGATGGTGACGTTCACGTTTGTCATGTGGGCAAGCAAGCAAACAAACAAAACGCCTCCACCCAGCCGTTCATTGTGAAGAATAAGCCGCCCTTAAAAGATTCAACGCCACCTCAAACAGCTGAAGTAATGTCTTCCATGATCACATCCTCGTCGTCTTGCAGAGGGATCTCGATGTTGCCATCCACAATATCACTCCGAAAGTCGTTGGGCAAGGGATTTTCGTCTATTGTGGGACGCACAGAGGCAAGCTGCAACCGCTCAGCTGACACCGTCTTCAGCTCCTGTGACTCAAAACTAAGAGCATCTTTAAGCTCCTCATACGTAAAGTTATCAAGTTCCTCCAATTCCTTCGGAGTAAGTTCGCGGTAGCGACATAAACGACGCAGACGAGCAACGCGTTGTCGTCGGAAGAATGGCCAGTCGCGCTCAATGAACTCCTTCCAAACAGCACCAGAGTGCTGCATATAATACGGGGGCACTGTCACCTCACGTATAGAACCCACAGGAAGTCCGCTAATTGAAAACGGGCCAAAAGAGATACGACCACCACGCTCCACATTACGTCCCAGATGCTGCATTAGATGAGAAACAGGCATTACCTCCCCCCTTACCTTCACCTTTAGCGAGAATCGTGATTTCATCGCCGGATTCACAAAAAACTCCACATTAGTCCACTGCTTTCCATTCACCATAACTCCCTCCGTGTTCAGCTTGTGGGCCAGCACAGGGTCAATGGCGGGACGCACGCGCAGCAGGTACGTCTGCTGGATCATTGATTTAGGATTTTCCAAAAACCGAGAAAGTTCACCGTCATTGGTGAGAAGCAGCAAGCCGTGTGCACGCATCGGGAGGGATCCGACAGGAACGAGGTGGTCCATACCAAGTATGCGAGCGTGTTTGGTGATCAGTGTCCGTCCTGCCATGTCGTTCCTGGACACAATCACATAAGCAGGTTTGTGGTACATCCAGAGCCGCGGCGGTGCGAAACGAAGGCGACCACTATGTGATGCCACGTGGATGTTATTCTCGGCTCGCACAAGACGAAATGGGTTCCTCTCAACCACATTATCAACACGTACCTGACCGCTAGCGATAATCGCAAGGGCCTCGCGGCGACTGCAGAAACCCGCACGTGGTAAACAGCGAAGGAGAAACACTGAACCTTTAGGAATACTAGACGTATTTTCCTCCACATCGCCAAATTTTCTCGCTTGATCAGTAAGGGGGTCGTACGCCGATCCACCAGGATAAAACTCTGTGGACCTTCGCAGAATAGTACTCATAGCCGTCGATACGCCCGACGGTTTCGTTGTTGTCAGTTGATCACTGCCTTGTAGGCCATCAGCGCCCATAGCAGCAGCAGCAGCATCACCATCAGCTACATCTGCCAAAGTGGTTGGGACCCTTTTTGAGTGAATAGGCTCTGCAGTATCACAGAGCCTTTTCTGTAACTTATTCGTCTTTACCTCTTGTCGATGCTGTAACTCACGGTCAGAGAGCAGTCGCAAGCGGCGAGGCAAGTAAGTGTCATTGCGGTCCTCTCTCAGCTTCTCCGCTTTGAGCTCCATTAGCCGCTCATTCACCATGTCAGTCAGCTGTACAGGGGTGTCACCGTAGACATTCCGCCCTTCCTCCCCATCAGGCTCAATTGTGGGATCTGCAGGAGAGACATTGCTCTCGTGAGATAGTGTGGGGCCGTGCTGCCTAGTGTTGCCGCCCGATAGCTGAAGCACATCGGGAGATAATTTTTCCTGCTGTGATGGCGCCTCCTCACGTAAGCGCCGTTGCCGTCCGCCTGCACGTATGTCAAGGCTTCCCTCGTCAAAAAAAGAGGGCACCACGTCAGCGTCATCCTTTGGGACAGCGTACCCATCGGCGTTCCTGGTCCGCACGATCTCCTTCCACTCCCTCTTCCTGCGTTGGGCAGCCACGTAGGGGGACGTCGTGGGCTTCTTGAGGTGCGACATCGCTACCGGGAAATGTTTCTCAACGTCAAGCAACTCTTCGCGCTGCGCTACGTCTTCGCTTCGCGACAACGCGGATGCCGTTGGGGACATCACTTTCCGCCGCGGTGGTGGCGTGGCACGGCCGCTGTCCCCTCTTCCACCAGTAGACTCGTATCGCCGTTGCGGTTGTATGTGCTGCTTCAGCTGATACAGAAGTGACACCAAGGACACCTGCAGCGTTGACGAAGACGAAGACGACGACGACGACAGACGACGCATCTTGTCAGTCTCTTTCGCTTTCTGTAGACGGGGAGAAACAAAAATGTAAAAAAAATCCATAAAAGTTAACAGCACAAAAGAAAGCGTCAAAAGCGCCTTTGCGTCGAGGAATTACCGCGAAGAGCAGTCCAAGCCTTGCCTTTTCCCTTCGTAAAAGTAAAGAAAAAAAAACATGTGCTATTAATTGTGTCACGGTTTTTTGTTTTTTTTTGTTTTTGTTTTAATTAGGAGAGTAATTCGGTTTTCTTCATGCACAGGACACACAAGGCAAGGCCGACGAGGAGACATTGTGAAGTGGGTTGATATGAAACGGAGGCGCGGAATGCGCCCCTAGCCCACCTCCCGTACGGTGGGGCGGAGAGGGCTAGGCTAGGTGGGTGTTTTTTTTTTTGTGTCAGAAGGTGCGCTCCTCGCTGCTCTACGTACCAATAGAGAAGCGCGGAGTCAAAGAATACAACACTTTTTTTTTTTTCGGTTGGCGTATAAACAACAGTGCGGCTTGACCATTCCTTTTGCAGGCCTCCAGCCCCCCGTCATGGTTGGTGACAGGTAGCTGACGAGAGTCCCTCATCTCCTTTTCCACATCCCTCCTTTTTTTTTTCTTTACAAAAGAACAAATTTAAAAATTACAATCAATTTGTTCGTCTACAACACAAAACTACTTCACTTACAGATTATAACACCCCACGCAGCGAAGCATGTCGGAAACATTGGTTGGAGGATATTCCACAGAGGAGCCCCCGTCCACATCGTCTCAGTACATGATGGTGCGGCAAAGGTGGTGCCTGACGGATGCATCCACGTTATACCTTCCAATCCACCAGAGCATGTGGTCAAGCGCGGTAGCATCCCAGACAATGGGCTTCTTTGCGGCGTCACCACCCAATGTCTTGAAATTTGAGCTGGAGAGGAAGTCCAACAGCAACTCAGATGCAACTAATGCGGCGACACGGATAGAAGCCTCTTCTGCTCCATCTTTCGCTAACAACACCCCGTTATCAACAAGAAGTGCCAGGTGTGCATCGTACTCAATCAGACCAAGAAGGCGAAGCGCCTTGGGTATCTGGTAATCGCAACAGACAGTGAGTTGACCCTTGTCATGAAAAGCACCGCATTTGGGGGCTCTAGAGTCATGTTGAGATATTTTTTCGATGGCATCGGGCATGTGAGTGATTGCGCTATCCACCGCAGATGCAGTGAGTAGGGCCAGTTTCAGCACAGGAAACTTGAGAACATCACCCCCCGTCATCAAATCCTTCTCCGCATTAGCGCTCTCTTTTCTCAGGAGGTGGAAGTCATGGTAGCGATGGTGGAGCTGCAGTAGCTGCTCAATAAACCCTAGGTATGGTTCTGTGGGATGGTACAGGTAACCTTCGCAGCTGCACCAAATCTTGTAGAATGATGTACCCCTCTCAAGTTGTGCGAGTGAAACCGAAATCAGCAACTCCACCCGCTCCCGTGTGGCTGGCATCCACATGGGCGTTTTCCCATCCTCCTCGTGTCCCAAGAAGCAAGACTTCAACGCCTCCACTGCCTCATCAACTGTGGCGAACTGCACCATAAACGATGGACGGTACCATTCAATGCAGTGCTGCTCTACAGCACACCGTAGTAGGTGGGTCATCGCCGTTGAACCACGCAACACGCGGCCCCCACCAAAGCTTTTCTCCGCATGCTGGTCGCTCTGCTCCGGTGGCAACGTCGCGTAGAAGCCGCAGAGCCCGTCGACACGGGAACCCACCAGCGCCTCGCCGCCACCGCTACCACTGGGGCGCTCCCCCCAGTGCCTAAAGTCGATCGCTACAAGCATGCCCAGGTAGTTAATCACGTCCTCCACACTGCCGCGGAGACACTGCGGAACGCTGGAGAGCCAATGAGACGAGGAGACGCCTGTTTGACTAAACTCCTCCAGGTAGCTCTTCACAAGAGCTCCAAATCGTGGCTGGGTTGCCCAGACAGAAACGTCATTCACGTGGGCGTGGGGAATGACACGGTTTACCACATCTAGCGGGAAACACTCCCGCACAAATGACTTTACAGATTTCCCCTCCATTATGATGCAACAACTCGTATATAGGTGTTTAAAAAAAAATAAGAGAAAGATCACGAATGCGCAAAATTTGGCTAAGAGCCAGAACAGGGTATCGGCATCAAAAAGCCTAAGGGCAGAGAAAAGCTAATTGGCATCTTGTTTTCTGCGCAATGGGGCGCCGCTGTGGGGAGAGTTTCCCTCACACACGCTCACGAGTAGACGTACATTACATCGTAGTCTCCAACTACAACCAAGCATGACAAACAGAATATCAGCGACAGCCGATCAAGCCCTCAGCACATGTCAACAACAACAACGTCGTCATCAACACCATCACCATTCACATCCATGCGACAACCGCACCACTTCCGTTCTCCCACTACTCAACGTACAGCACACGACGATGGATTCAGAGGCGCAACATTCCTAGCTGTGCGAAGAATGCCCCCATCATCGTTCACCTTCATAATTTCAGTCTTCACCGCATTCATTTGATCGCGCTGAATGAGCCATTCCAGTGCAGTGACCTCAGCCATGTATCCGTCCTCCATGCTCAGGCGACGGCTGTGTTCCCGTATAAGAAGACGCTCAACCTCGTACTTGATGTCGAACTCACTCCCCAGCATTTTCGTCGGTGGTGAGAATGTAGACACACTGCCTGTATTGGCAGATTTCTGTCCGTGGGATTTGGTCGATGATGGTGTGGTAAGCCCCGACCCCACAAGTGTATGCAGAGACACACGTTTCCCATTACGGGAGCAGAAATGCCCTCCACCCCGGCGATCTATCGTAGACGTGGAAGTAAGAGAGAAGAGGACGTCACTCACGCGACGGTAGTGCAACCTTGTTGGGTCTCTGTTAAAGGTCATGGAACGATAAAAGTCCGTCCATGTCTTTCCCATAGTGCTAGCGCTTACACTGTAGTCCTGTGAAGCCACTGCCGCCTTTCGGCCCTTTCTGCGAGTTGGTGGGCAAAAAAAACGCTCAATGGAGGAATCCGCCTCGCTGCCTGAAACAAATGTTGTCATTCGATCCTCTTCTCTCGCCCAGTGGCGCGCCTTGAGCCTCGCTCTGAACTCGTTAAAGAGCGGCAACGACTGCAAGGATTCACGCAGAAGTGCAGCACCTAACCAAATGAAACGGCTGGGGACAAGCCCTGAGGTATTTTCCGTATCCCGCAAACGCGGCGAACACATCGTACTCACAACACAGCCAAGGGTTTTTGGTGGAGAGTCAAACGGCCATGGACGCGCTCCCAGAGAGGTGGGGAAATCGAGTTGACCTTTTTCCTCTTGAAGACCATGGAGGTAAGCCAATTCGGCAGACTGAAGAAAACGACGGTCTCTAGCAGATCCATCAGTCATTTGTGCATTCATCCCTTGGCGGCCTTCAGCATGCCAACTCACCTGATATGAATTCTGTGGCTGACAAGAAGTACGGGACGTATGTTGAAGCGAGGCTTGACAAGATCGTGACACTACAAGCGTCGTGGTGCGCGTGCATTCTCTTCGAGTAGAAGCACCCTCTCTCTTTTCGTTATTCAGGTTTGTCTCCGGCTGTGGTGTTGGAACAAGCACCTGATCGCTATCCATCACAACACGCTCCCACGACTCTAGGTGCCGCACCGCAAGGCCGGCGTCCATCAGCAACGAGTCGTTATAGCAGCACTGATGGCACTCCACAAGGAAAACCCACCGTCGCCGAATGCAGTCACGCCGCTCAATGTCTTCTTGTTGGATGAGAAGCCGCTGCGCCTTCTGTGCTACCGAGAGATGACGAAGATAATCATATCGGGGGCACCGCGTCCATACATTTTCAATTCTTCTTACTGCGGCCTTAAGCACAACATTCTTTTTTGTGGTCACCAATGTCACGTCCATTCTCGTTCGCATAAACATGTTTACAACTGTGACAGAGTGCTCGTGTAGGATTTGTTGTCTCACCTCGGAGCCGTCACGGCGACTCAAAGCGTACGCGGTAAACGCTTCAATCAGAACACGCTTCGCCATACGGACGCGCAGCTGCCAAAGACAATGTTCCACTTCAAGTGCTTTGCTAATGGAGGCGGTGAGTGTACCACGACGTTTGGTGCGCCGACGGAAGATCATCGCGCGCACCCAACGCTGTATGCGCGTGAGGGCCACATCCGTCGTGATACGAATGGTGAACCGAGACCGTGATGCACTCCCCGCTCGCCGCTTCGGCACCAAAGGTTCCCGCTCCGGGGAGGGGACACGAATGATGCGCGCGACGCTGCCGCGGCTGAGGCTCCCAACCTGTTTCCGCTGTGTCCTCGAACTGCCGCCGCCGCTCTGCGGCTGACGTGCGGCGGACCTAGACACAGGGCTCCTCGTCCTACGGGACTGCTGCGCCTTTGCTGGTGAAGCTGCTGCTGCTGCTAAACGCTGCCTGCTGCTGGGCGTCCTCTCTCTCTGCGCCGCACCTGACGCACTGGGTGAAGCGGTGCGGCGCTTTGGGGGGCCTCCTGGCGACTTGCGGCTGCCGGCCTTCATCCGTTTCTCTGTGTGTGTGTGTGCAGGTAGAAAAAAAAGCGGGAGCGGGAAATCCAACAGGGTCCAAGGGTGGGGAAGAAATGATGCCTGACACGGANTGGGTGAAGCGGTGCGGCGCTTTGGGGGGCCTCCTGGCGACTTGCGGCTGCCGGCCTTCATCCGTTTCTCTGTGTGTGTGTGTGTGTGTGTGCAGGTAGAAAAAAAAGCGGGAGCGGGAAATCCAACAGGGTCCAAGGGTGGGGAAGAAATGATGCCTGACACGGAGGGACAATTAACAAAAAAAATCAAGAAAGAGGAATGCAAATCGACAGACGTCCACCCCGCATTCAGCCAAACAGACGCACACAAACGCACACGCGCAGACGAATACCGACACATAGATGTGTACCCCTCATCCTCCTCGTACCACCGCGTCAGAGCCGGACGTCAAACTTCTCCTCGCCATAGCTGCCGAGAGCGTAGATGGGCGCGGCGAACGGCTCGTAGTCGGAGTAGCAGCGCTGAAACACACGCTCAACCGCCCGCTCAGAAAAACCACGGCAGACAGGATTCCTTTCTACTGCGAGCGTGGCGCGCCGCCTCACGCACAGCATACCGCTGCGCAGGGGGTCGAGCCGGCCGCGCCGCAGTTCCTGGCCGACAAAGCAGTCGCCGCTCAGCCGCGCCGCCCGTATCTCGCTGCAGGCCTGGTGCGTGCAGTCGGCGGCCTCGACAACGCCACGCGCGTCGTCGAAGGCGTGGATGAGTTCGTGACGGAGGTTCCGCTCCACTGCCTCAATGGTCTTCTTGTCCAGCTTCGGTCTGCCGCTGCTGCTGCTGGTGGTGGTGGTGATCGCCGGCGTTGCCGCCACCACCTGCTCCTCGACAAGAAGAACGTCGCCGCGCTCGCAATCCTCGCGCGCACGCCGCCACATGTAGCCCGCCGATACACCGGCATCCGACAGGCCACTGTGGACGTGCTGCAGCGAGACGCACTTGATGCGCTCGCGACGAAACGGTGTCTGCGTGATCTCCGCAATGCTCTTGAGCAGGTACTGCACAGTGTTCACTGTGGCGAGCACCTCATCAACAGCTGCTTCGCACTGCTGGTGTATAACAGCCTTCTTTGCATCTTCATCATCTGTCTTCCCTTCGCCCCCCGAAGAGGCCATGGATCTCTTCCTGCTGCCTGCATGGATAAAACAAAGAGCCGCGAAAAATAGAAAGAAACGTCCGCAAAGAATTGGGAATGCATCCACACACGCAAACTGCTACCCTCAGCGTGTAGCACTCGCACAGTGGCCAATGCCGCATTCACGTGGAGTCCGAATAGAGGAACGAAAGCAGAGCAACAAATCAACAGGACTTTGAGTGAACGAACGAGACAACGAGTGAAAGAGAAAGATGGAGAATAAAACAAAAAGAGAGAAGTGAATAGCAATCATTACCACTAAAGGCTCCATTGCGACACAAATCCGCATATCTGCATTGTTGTTGTTTTTTTGTTGCCGTTCAATCTGTCTTCTTTTGCCTGCACCAACTTTGTTGTTCTCGCCCATATATTACTTTTATTCACACTCTTTGTTTCTACAATCGTCCCCCTCCCACCTTTTTTTTTTTT